ACTGCCGTCCCCCTGGCAGCCAGCCAAAACCGGTTGGATGACCTGATGCAGTGCATGCGGGCAATGCAAGCCCAAATGCAACAGTTCCAACAACACCAGCTTCACCAGCACCAAGTGCTGCACAACATCTCCCAGTATCACTATCAACAGCAGTTCCCCAAACTGCCACTGAACCAATCACTACTTCCACCTTGCCACCCTGCTCCGAGGCCGGTCATGGCCTCCCCGTAGGATGGGCGCCCCCACCAAGGAAAGGCCTCCAGGCCCCAGAACCCCCCTAACAGCCAGGCCTCGTCCCTAGGCCGAAGAGAGAAAAAATTCATCATCGCCTCGCAGCTCGTAAGCGGGTCGGGAACCTCGCCCGCGAGGTCGGCACCTCGGCGCTCCAAGCCCGAGTTCCCCCTCATGGAAAACCGATTCGGCGCACTGGCAGCAGCAGACTACCAGCATTCCGGGCCCATTGAGCTCGGCAACACAGAGGCTAGGAGCGCCAGTACAAGGCCCACTCAACAGCGAAGGCGCCGGCGAAGTCGCCAAACCGCCACCCGTGTCTTGTCAGAGCTCAGAGGCAAAGAAGAGGCGATCTCGGACGAGATAGGAGTTGCCCCAATTCTCTCAGTTCGTTCCCCCCTCGCATCAGAACTCTTGGCGGTCCCCTTGCCCAGAGATTTCAAGCTCCCACCTCTGGACAAGTATGACGGGTCCTTCGACCCCAACGACCATGTTGACGCCTTCCAGTCCCAAATGCACCTCGCCAGAGCCAGCGAATCATGCATGTGCGTGCCTTCACCACCACCCTCAGGGGGGTAGCCCGCACTTGGTATAGGAACCTGGCCCCCGGATCGATAAAGTGCTGGGCTCAGTTTGTGCAAGTCTTCACCGCACATTTTGTCACCAGCAAACGGTGCCCCAGAGCAGAAGAAAGCATCTTCGGAGTAGTCCAAAGGGAAGGAGAATCCATACGGGGCTACATCAAGCAATTCAATGAAGCATGCTTGCAGATACCACGGTTAGACCCCACGGTGCAGCTCGTGGCGGCAAAAAGAGGGGTAATGCACAAAGAATTCAAGTGGCACATGGTAGCTAACCAGCCCGCAACCGTGGCCGAATTCCTCAAGCTCGCGGACAAGTTCATGAGGACAGAGGAAGAAATCAACCAACG